AGTTGGATGTCGCTGTGGGAATACGGAACGCTGAACGCTACAAGGTCCCAACCTTCGCCGGGGCGACTACGCTCAAAGAAACTTGTTCTGAACCGGGTCAACAGAAACGGAGTTGGTTCGCGTGCCACTTTGTTACAGCAGTAGAAAGCGACGGAACACCAAACGGATAATTTTCCGTTCTAGTCACTGTATGAAAGTTTCTAAGGAGAAGAGAGTACTTATGAGTCAGGCTCTAGTCCCGTTGCCACTGTTTTAAAACGCTGAATTTTCAACCCAGGACACAAGTTTTTTTTGCTTAGTGGTGGGTGGAGTCCAACTGGGTCCACTCGGCACGGCGGCCACTGATTAGCCTATTATACCTGTCCCGGGTGATTATGATGATGGAGAATTTGGTGCGATGAAGATTGGCAGGGGAAACCGAACTATTCGGAGAAAACCCTCCCCAGCGCCACTTTGTCTGCCACAAATCCCACTTGACCAGACCCCGGGATCGAACCCGGGCCGCCGCGGTGGGAAGCCAGCGACTAACCGCTTGATCTATGGCACGGCCCATCATAAGGTATAAGAATTACAAATTACGGAGTTCTTTCCATTTTCGAAAACAGGTTAAAGTTTAGTCATTAATTAGAGGACATATATCGACAAGATAATAAAATAGAAAAAATAGATTATACAAGACTAAAATTTTGTCTGCGGTTCTGTATGGGTGCGAAACCTGGTCTCTCACATTAAAGGAGGAACATAGACTGAGGGTGTTTGAGAACAGTGTGTTGAGGAGAATATTTGGACCAACGAGAGATGAAATCACAGGAGGCTGGAAAAAACCGCATAATGAGGAGCTTCATAACTTGTACTCTTCTCCAAGCATAATTAGAATGATCAAGTCAAGGAAGATGAGGTGGGCAGGTCATGTAGCACGAATGGGGGAGACGAGGAATGTGTATAGGATACTGGTGGGAAAAACAGAAGGAAAGAGACCACAGGGAAGACGTAGGTGGGTGGACAATATTAGATTGGATCTTAGAGAGATACGATGGGATGGTATGGACTGGATAAATCTGGCTCAGGATAGGGACTAGTGGACGGCTCTTGTGAACACGGTGATGAACCTTCGGGTTCCATAAAATGCTGGGAAATTCTTGAGTAGCTGCAGAATTGGCGGCTCCTCCGGAAGGGCTCAGCTCAATGGAGTCAGTAATAAGACAGACACTCGTAATATTATTGACCGTTGCAGCGGAACAAGGAAGTTCAGTTCCGTTAATACCAAAGTCCGCTGATTGACACAGTCAATTCCGTCCACTTCCTATCCCATATTCCCTTTGCCAAAAATATATTCTATGATCCTCGCTCTTAAATATTAATATTTTTCCAGACGGGTTTCCACCAAACCCTGTATGAGATTTGAAAGCCTGGAGGCGAGGACTATGCAGACAAGTCGACTGAGATATGATGCCACAGAGTCTGACTGGCACTTAAATGTGTTTCGGGGAATGTAATTCGTCCATATTCAGGTTACCTTGTCGGTGGATGCAGCATATTCATCATATGTTTGCCAACGTCTACTAGACGACACGGAGTCAGTTCTCAGAAGGCACCTATTCCTTGCTTTCTCCACAGTAGTACAATTCCTTCATATATTAGTCTACTAGCCTTCACTAAGCTTTGTCTTAACAGCAGATGCTCCGTATGCATCATGTGATTGTGGCATGGCGTCTTAATTTGTGCATCTACTTTATCCTCCTTTTTTTCTCTTGGCACTACAGCCCCAGTGGGCCTAGGCCTACCTCCATGAACTCCGTTCACTTCGGTTTTTCTAGATCTTACACAGACGGTAGGACTCCTTGGGCGAGTGATCAGCTCGTCGCAAGGGCTCTACCTGTAGACAAACACAGAAAAACGCACACAAACATCCATACCCTCAGTGGGATTCGAAGCCACGATCCCGGCTTCCGAGCGAGCGAAGACAGTGCATGCCTTAGACCGCTCGGCTACCGTGACCGGCACTTTATCCTCCTTATGTCCAAATATTTATCTGAGCATTTCTTTTTAAAATATTTCGAATTTATATAGAGGGGCCCAAAAATGCATACACACCTTTTCGTCCACGTTTTCTTGGGCTGTCCTGTCATTCATATTTGATAGAATATCACAATACACGCCCTGAATTACGTTGAGGTTCAACTTTGGAAACGTCTATTAAACTATGTTTATATTTTTTGGGCCCCTCTACATTTTCCCCTCAAAATATACTTACTTATTCATGGAGCTTAGCCCTTCTGGAGGAGCCGCCAATTCTGCAGCTACTCAAGAATTTCCCAGCATTTTATGGAACCCGAAGGTTCATCACCGTGTTCACAAGAGCCCTCCACTGGTCCCTATCCTGAGCCAGATTTATCCAGTCCATAACATCCCATCCTATCTCTCTAAGATCCATTCTAATATTGTCCACCCACCTACGCCTTAGTTTTCCCTGCTGTGTCTCTCCTTCTGGCTTTCCCACCAATATCCTATACTCATTACTCGTCTCCTCCATTCGTTCTACATGACCTGCCCACCTCATCTTCCTTGACTTTATCATTCTACTTATACTCGGAGAAGAGTATAGAAGTAGACACAGCTATACCTGTGTAGGATTTTAAGTTTTCAATGCGGTGGTTATGAAAGAACGCTGTGAAGTCCTCTGAAAATCAAGCGACATTACGGAGGAATATGTTGTCTCCATCTTCAGGATAGAAGAAGCTGAGCAAGAAACCAGCACGAAAGTAGATGGCAAACAGAGCTCCGCTTATTTTTCGACATTGAAGATGGAGGAGACATATTTCTTCGAAACGTTGGCATTACATGACAATAGATGTAATTCTTCGGGATAACACTCAATTACTCCTCATTTTATATAAGAAAGTGGGTAAAACTGAAGGAAGATGTGCTACTTCAACAAAGCAACGTGCAAAATATCCGGTTCTCCGGTTGTCTTCACCCGATCGCATGACTAATGTACAGCTGGTTGCAGCGACAGCTGGAAGCCCGCCTCTTACCCGAGGTTCATTCACTCAGAAGACACGAAATAATTGGGGGGGAAGGCGAAGACGAACAATCAGTTGTTAGCAAAAGAATCGTTCAGCGGAAATGGAACAAGTGATAAATCATTCTATGCACGAGTAATGTTTATATTTCTCAAAGAAAGCATGACTGTAAAGTTTGGAACTGGTCATCTGCAAGATTGTCTCCATGGTTGCAGCCTACTTTCATTTTGTTTGGTGAGGTACAAATGAGGACCGAGTTTACATGGAACACAGTGTGGGAACATGCACATACTTATATGCTTCCGCTCTCCCGAAATGTAATGACAATGCTAATTCGTGTGAAGTTTCCTAAAAGAAAAAGCTTCGTACGAGAGAAAAGTCATATATGTGGACAAAATATTTTAGATCCACGAAATAAGAAAACGGAAGGCTAATTGGATTGGTCATGTTTTACGCAGAAACTGCCTTCTAAAAGAAGTTATTGAAGGAAAGATAGAGGGGCGGCTAGAAGTGACAAGAAGACGTAAGAAGATGCTGGATGACCTTGGGGACAGAAGAGGATACTGTCATTTGAAGGAGAAAGCTCTAGATCGCATTAAGTGGAGGAATTGTTTTGGAAGAGACTCTGGACCCGTCGTCTGACAGATTACTGATGATGATGATAGTTGCTCTAAATCAAATACAGGGAAAATACTATAAGAGAGCAGGCATATGTCCATTTCTAGAGACAAGATAAAAAATATAATAAATTGGAAGAAATAAGTGCATAAATCATTTGAAAATATGACAGAAACCAAAGATTTGAGAAAGTCAGTAGGAACTTAAAAAAGAAGACGAAAGAATTAAAACCAGAATGATTCTGTAAATAGGAGCCGGAATAGCTCAGTCGGTATAGCGACTGGCTACGGGCTGGACGTTGGAGGGATCGGAGTTCGAGGCCCGGTATGGTCAAAAATTTTCTCTTCACCACATTGTCCAGGCTCTGGCGTCTACCCAGCCTCATATCCAATGGGTAACCGGGACTCTTTCCCCGGGGTTAAAGTGGCAGGGGCGTGAAACTGACCGCTCACCTCCAGCTAGTGCCGAGGTCAAGAAAATATGGAATTATACATCCACTCCTCCATATGCCTTTATGGCGTAGTGTTTAGTTAGTTAAGCACAGGGACAACTTTAGCTTTTTACTTTTTAATTTGTAAGGTCATTGTCTCAGTGTCCTTCGTATCTCTCCACACTAGTTAATTAGTTAATATTTATATTGTCACGTGATTGAGTGACTATAAGGAGTTTGCGTTGGTATTTGGTTTTACTGGACTCTTTTATACACAGCACGTGACTACACTTTATATTTCACTTTTACACACACAGCAATGTCCACAGCCACGTCTTCACTACCGTTGTTTGGTAGCGGCTTCCAACGGAGGACGATCCCCTTCCTGGGGATTTCCGAACTGTCCTCGGCTCCAGCTGCAGCAACTCTCGACTGAATGACTGAACTCAGTCATTCAGCAATCAACTAACCCAACTCAGCTGACTGAACTCTAGACTTATCCTGCTTATAATATTTTGGCACGAATCTCGTATAAAACACCGTTCCTCTTTTACTGTACCAAATTTTTGAGTGCGCAACCATAGGCGCGGACCACAAAGAAAACACCATTCCTCTGTTGCTGCTTACTGGCAGTTGCCTGATAGCGGCCGCTGTATGATTATTTGTTTTGCGGTCGTTGCCTAGCAATGGGTTTAAATGACACAATATCATGTCTCAGGCAGTATGATTCATTAAAATCAAAATAATTAACAGTTGATCTCTTCTACTCTTTTGCCGTCTATCACTAATTTACGTGTACATATAACGTGGTTCTTCCATTGAAGTACCATATTTTTTTTTCGTGCGTAAACATTCTGACACAGCTTCCAGCAAATCAGTCAACTTCTACCGCTCTGTTAATTAAGTAGTGCACGTCTTTCTGTTTTCAGGGGGGTGTTTGCAATGGCGCCGAATCTAACAACAGCATCAGCCCTTTTCCTGGAGACGACACAGGACTCCGTCGTGTACCAGTCCAAGAGTCAGAAGTCAGCATCGGCAGCCCGCCCAAGGTCGGGGCTTCAGAAGGTGCAAGCTGAGCACAAGGATGAACCAGGGAAGCAGTACAACCTGAAAATTCGCTGGCGCAACGTCATCGCCTTCCTGTACTTGCACGTATTCACTCTTTACGGAATTTACCTAGCATTTACAGCTGCGAAATATCAGACAAATATTTGGAGTAAGTACGATCAGTTACCGTTCAATAATATCTTTACTAGAAAGTAAGGAGCCAGGATAGTGTAATCGGTATAGCGACTGGCTGCGGGCTCGACGACCGAGGGGTCGGATTTCAAGGTCAAGAATTTTCACTTTCCACGCCGTTCAGACCGGCCCTTGGGCCCAGCCATCCTCCTATCCAATGGGCAACGGAGTTTTTTTCCCCGGGAGTAAAGCTACAGGGGCATGGAGCTGACCACTCATCTCCAGCTAGTGCCGAGGTCAAGAAACGTGGATCTATACATCCACTCCCCTATACCCCTTCATGGCGTAGTGCTTAATTCGTTAAGCACAGGGACAACGCTTTCATTAGTAGAATGTGGTCAAAGGTGGATCGAAAGGATGGGTCATGTAGCATGCAGAGATGACGAATCAGTGTAAAATTTTGTCGGAAAACCTGAAGGGACGACACAACAGACCTAAATTCAGATGTAAAAGTAAGTAAAGCTATCCCAATAACAGGTCGTGAAGGCCCATAGTGTTGTGAGATGTCGAGGGTCCCACATTTTCTAGACAATCGGCTCAAAAATGGTGGTAAGGTTGTCAACCTTACGCTCCGGCCGAGCTTTACTCCCCAGGAAAATTACTTAATTAATTAATTACTGGTACTCATTTCTGTTAGAGGCTGATCCCAAGGCCATAGTGCGGCTGGAAGGATTAGGTCAATTGAAAAAAATCCAATGACTTCATCGGGAGTTGAACCCGCGACCTTCCGGCTTGTAGCATAGCCCCTCAACCAACTACGCTACCATGTATCCCCAAATGCAGATGAAAGTGTAAGAAAATCGTAGTTAAAAGTAAGGTAGGGAGCAGTGGGACGTATCCATCCAGCTCAGGTTAGGGACCAGTGATACGCTCCTGACAACATGGCAATGAACATTCGGGATATAGAAAATAAGCTTTGGCATATTGAAGAATTATACAGACTGGAATCCATAACCCTAGAAACAAGAAGTTCAATTCAATAATTACAGAATTTACCGTCAGAAGAGCAGAGATATTCAGAGTGGAAACGACTGTATTTCTCATTCTGATCATTATTATGATTTCCTACATTAATTATCGACTATGCTACAAGCCGGAAGGTCGCGGGATCGAATCCAGATGAGCTGGATTTTTTCAATTTACCTAATCTTTCTAGCTGCACTAAGCCCTGGGGTCGACTCAGCTTCTAACAGAAAAGAGNCGGAAGGTCGCGGGATCGAATCCAGATGAGCTGGATTTTTTCAATTCAATTCAATGCCAGGAATATTTCTGGGGTAAAGGGCGGCCGAAGCGTAAGGCTGACAACCTCAAGAACATCTGTGAGCTGATTGTTTAGAAAATGTGGGATCCTCAACATCTCACGGCCTGTTACAGGGATACCTTTACCTTTTATTTTTACATTAATTACCATTGTTTGAATAATTACGGACGGAGCGGTCTTGGGGCCTTCCGACCGGATGTGCTTAGGATTCTTCCACTTCATGCACCTCCAAGAAATTCACCACTTTTCGAATGCGATACGTAGGAAGCCCTACGTCACTCTGAAGTCCATTTCTTCACTATATTTACCGTAGTATTAGAAGGGAAATTATATATCCCACTCTGTAGCTGTCCTTCTGTGTATGTACGTAAATTCTTATTTTCAACCAAGAGATTATGGTGCTCACTGTCCGTAACTGCAGGTGCAGTTGCTCTGAGTGGGATTCGAACCCACGATCCCGGCTTCCGAGCGAGCGAAAACAGTGCATGCCTTAGACCGCTCGGCTACCGTGACCGGCACACCCTACCTCATACCCCGCGTAATTTCTTATGTTTGTAATTCAGAATTAAACTTACACAAAAAGAGAAAAAACAAGTAAAAATATTTTTGTAAGAGGCCGTGGAGGCCCATAGGGTTGTGAAACGTCGAGGCTCCCAAATTTTCTAGACAATAGGCTCACAGATGGTGGTGAGGTTTTCAGTCTTAATCGCCGAACGCCCTTTACCCCCAGGAAGATTCCTGGTGCTCATTTCTCTTAGAGGCTGAGTCCACCCCAGGGCCGAAGTGCGGCTGGAGGGACAGCTAAGATTATAATCTAAGGGCACATTTTTTATACACTGGTAGCCTCTAAGTTCTCTTTCCAGAATCTGTGATCCGCGGGCACCGCCACTGCATGTAAGAGTTAGTGGAGGCTTTTTGTCTGCATGTCTGAAAGCAGGGACAATTATATCCAGGGGTTTTAGAATAAATTTAGACACGAATATAGCAACGGTTTGGGAGCCCAGGAGCAGTTTGAGAATTTGGGCCCCTACCCACGACTATACTTAACAACTTAACACCAGCTTCGTTGTTACATTGCCAACCATAAACGCGCCAGAACAACAACGTAAATTACACAAAAACAACAAACTTTTAATAAATTTATTTTACGAAATCACAACTACCTGGCAATTCAAAGCAGTTTCATTAGTACTGGTAGGCATGTGATGTAATTAGAGCAACATATGCCACTAAATTAACTTTGGTATTGAAAATCCAATTGGTGTAGATACTAAGCAAACATAAAAGGAAAAGCTAAGCTACAAATGTATATAATTCACAATTAAATTTTGGATATGCGATAGCAAAAGGGGGCCCACCTGAGGCTCGGGATCTGCGCGTGGCCTATATCCTTAAGTATTGGTACATTCGTTCATGAACTCAGGTTACAGACACGATTTGAATACACGTACTTCAGCGTCCAACCTTAAAATAATACTTCTGCCAGGTCAACTTTTTGATTTATATTCTCTGATTAATGCCCGTAATTCGGAGCAATTCGCCACAGCTGCTGCAGAAACCCCTTTATAATACGCCCTACATAAACCTCCAAGCGACGGAATTTCAGATCAGTGGGTTTCCGTTTTACCTCCACAGTACGTTTAAGTGTAGTGACCCATTTATGGTTTTATCGCTGTACACAGCGTCACATCCTGCAACAGAGTAATCTTTATACACACGCCTCCTGGAGAAGGTCCAGTCTCACGAGTCACTTTCCGCTTGCCGTGTTGTAAACTGTTACGAAAAGCCAATGCTTGGAACTCATTAGCCTTTATCAACTTACATTAAGAATAAGCAGGACATTAACTCTGCGTGTCTCTTCTCAACAGCTACCGCGGTGTTGATTTTTGCATCTATCGGAGTGACGGCCGGAGCCCACAGACTCTGGTGTCACCGCTCCTACAAAGCCAAGTTGCCACTCCGTATTCTCCTTTGCATTATGCAAACGATTGCATTTCAGGTATGTTATATAGCTTGCTGATTATTGATTGGGTCCCTTGTTGTCATAAGTTGTTAAAAAATTTCGTGGTTGAGAGGGTAGGAGTCCTGATTCACATATTGGAGGTCATGATTTCAAATCTTGGACAAGAGATCGGTTATACTTATTTAAGTTTTGTGGTATTCTTCAGTATCCTCAAGCAAATGTGAGTATAATGCATTAAATTAATATATACCCAATTCCTTTCACGTCCTTCCAAATTAGTAGTTTATCTATCACCGATCATTCGACATTGTACACACTTTCAAACTAAAAACGTCTTTAAATTCTTCAAGATTAAACACGATTTCACTTTACTAATGAAGAAAACGACATGCAGGCCGAGAACGTATGACGTGAGCACCTGTGGGTAGCTGGAACATGGCTGTTGTCTAGCATGGATTCCGGGCGGCGGTACCCGTCTCACATCCAATGGGCATTATAACAAAAAACGGACACTGGGTGAAAGTTGGCTCGGGTGGTAATGTTTCTGACTTGAATTCGGGAGATGTTTTGTTCGAATCACGGTCGGGGAACTGACTATTCTGACTGATGGTGCTCGTGGTTTTCTTCAGTCTTCCCAGAAACATTCCTGGATAGTACTTGAACTTGATCTGAAATCGATTTCTTTCACGTCCTTTAGAATTCATTAGTCACTAATCATCCTACAGTTCAACGTTGCTTAGTCTTAGCTACTGAAAGCATTGTTACATATACTACAACTATACAAATATACGGACAACTTCAAAGCTGGAACAAGCCGTTTAGACTGACAGGATATTATAGTCAGATCTGGACTCTATTCATGAATATTTTAAAACTATCGGAAGAATTTGCGTCCTACATGGATCAGTAGAACTTCTGAAATCGTGTTTTGACAATGTTGACAATACAAACTAAATATTTAAGCCACTGTGGTGGATTTCTTATTCTTGCAGCGGCGACTGTGAAAGTGGAGTCTTACCCGACTGTAAGGTCTTATGTTCCGCAGAGGCCGTGCCATAGCTCAGGAGCTTAGTTACCGGCTTCCCTCCGCGGCGGTCAAGTCAGTGGGATTTATGGTGGACAAACTTGCACTGTGGCAGTTTTTTTCCCAAGAACTTCAGTTTCCCCTACCAATTCTCGTTCTATTATCTGTTCCATACTCATCTTCTTCCGGAAATGGTACAACAGACACACTAGCGGCCGACGTACCAAGTGGATTCCGTCTCAAGCCACGATTAATAAGAATTAATAACGTCCTGCAGGATGCCACTCATCAGTTCAGTCACCGTTTAGCACTTTAAACTAAGATTCAAAGTCAAGTGTAAAACGACTGCTTTCGCTTCGACCTACTTTCTTCTTCTCATAACACGTAAAAGCTTCACAATGCCATGGCCCACTTGAAGATCTGTTACTGCATTGTTTAGAGATAAGTGGGCCTTGTCGTAACTTTCAAATGTTGAACACTTAAATTAAAAAGGCACAGATCCTCATGACCCATCTTTATTCCATTCTTTCTCTTGTCAATGGGTCCCCATTCTTTCCTTCCAAGAAATCAGGGCGCGAGGGTTTGAATAATTTCTGGAGTGGCCCCACTAGAGAATACGAAAAAGATAATAGACTGAAACATTTTTTTCGCATTACGCTGAAAATGTATTCCAGATAAGATGTTAGTTCCTGGAAAACACATCTCTAAATATCATTATAAAATTACACCTTTATAATATCATAAAAATAGATTATCTGATGTTCGTAAATTGCTGTATATTACAGCGTAATTAAAAAAGATAATTTATAAAACAGGTCTTTCTGTTTCAATACTCTTCCTATACAAGCCCTTCAGTTTTGAAATGCCCTCTGAAATAGAACTACAGTTTAACAAATGGGCTGTGGGTTGTGGTTCTTTTGTAATATTGTATAGCACAGTTTTGAAAGAACTTTCATGCAGTTTCCGTTGCACTTTCTGTTAGCCTGTTTCAATTCATGTGTTCCTTGCATCCCACCCCCGCTCATGTGCACGTATGCACGCATACACACAATTTACTCCGCACAGAATAGTCTTTTTTCAGGATTCGATAGTCATTAACATAGTTAAGAACTTCCCCAAATTTTTGGGAGCCAGAAGTTCCTATAACACAATCATTGGTGCGTATTCTGAACCAGATACACATAGACTTTTTCTTTCCTTGGCACTACAGCCCCAGTGGGCCTACGCCTACCTCCACGAACTTCGTTCACTTCGGTTTTTCTAGATTTTACACATTTGGTAGGACTCCTTGGGCGGGTGGTCAGCTCGTCGCAAGGCGACAACATAAACACAGAAAATCGCACACACACAAACTAAACGTCCATGCCCTGAGTGGGATTCGAACCCACGATCCCGGTTCCCAAGCGAGCGAAGACAGTACACATAGACTTTACCCTCATAATTAACTTTTTTGACATCTACATTAATAGAGGGTGTCCGAGAAAGAACTCCATTGTTCTAGTTATTCACGACATTGACATAAACATTTCTTATTAACAAAAAGCATTAGACAATCTCTCCAAGTCTTAATAGTGTGCATCCTGTTGTGTGTGATCAATACGGTATACAAAAGTACATAAGGTATGCAGTCTACACAAAAATTTTCTGTATTTAAAAACAAAGACACTACTGTATCAACATTTGCTTTTATTATGCTTTTACGGACGCAACATGTTTCGACCCTTATACCGGGTCATCATCAATTGCAATTCATCAGCTCATACTGGAGCATTGTACGTCTTCTTTGTTTTTTAGATACAGAATATTGTTGTGTAGACTGCATACATTATATACTTTAGGATATCTTAATCTCTCCAAGTTTTACTGCTATTTACTGCAATTCATTTCCATGACCACCGACGGCCTCACAGGCGTCGACACGAAATTCCATATCAGCCGGCATATCACATCAACAGGCAACGTCCGAAAGCGAACTATACCGACTTTTGCGGAGAGAATCCCCACGGCCGTTAATTTCGGTTTTCTAGACCGGAGCCGCTATTTCCTTGAAAGAGTTCCTCAATTATCTTCACGAAGCTGAGTGCACTCCGTTCCAGACCCACTACTTCTCAGAAAAAATCTGGTAGTGCCGGGAATCGAACGCTGACCACTAGACCACAGATGTGTCCTTAGGCAACGTAGCCATAGCTTCTGTAATCCTCGGTGCAGAAGTGTGTCTACAATTTCGCTGTGCACGATGTCTTTTTGTATCACTAGAAGAAGTTCATGGGTGTTAACTAAGGACTCCATGAAGGAAAATTTATCGAGACTCCCCTGCCCAGCCATAGACAAGGAAACCGTTCGTTAGGAGCAGTTTATACAGTGATAACTAAAATGGGTTGGTGCGCCATCTTGTTGTGAAATGAGGATGTCACCTTCAGCTACTGTCTGTGGGAACACAAAGTTCTCTAGCATTTCCATGAAATGGTGCTATGCCACTATGTACGCACGCAAAAGTCGCTGACGATATCCGAAAATAATCGTGAAATTTGTCACGATGTTCAGTAAGTTCACGAAATGAGTGACAGAATTCTCCAAATTCGGATCTCCGTTGGTTAATCTAGCGGACCCAGATCCTTCTTCCCTTAACTCTTCTCATAAAAATCATGTACCTCAATGTAAAGTTTCTCATTAATAAACAGCCGCGCAATGTTTCCATGACGATCGCGCACGCCTACTGAAGCTGAAGCAACGCGAATGAGAACAACTGCTCTATCACACAGCGGGCTGTGACAACGCGCAGACGAGGAGACAAGTCTCATGCATGCTACGGCTTATAGCGACATGTCTCCCGCGTGCTACGGCGTGTAAAGACAAGTCTCATGCATACTATGGCTTGTAGCGAAATGCCTCGTGCATCCTACGGCATATAACGACGTTTCATGCATGTTACGGCGTATAGCAACATGTCTCCTGCGTGCTACGGCGTGTAGCGACATGTCTTGTGTATACTACGGCATATAGTGACATGTCTCTTGCGTGCTATGGCGTGTGAGACAAGTCTCGTGCATACTATGGCGTGTAGCGACATGTCTCTTGCGTGCTACGGCGTGTAGCATGTCTTGTGCATCATACGGTATATAGTGACATGTCTCCTGCATGCTACGGCATGTGGCGACTTATCTCCTGCATGCTAAGGCGTGTGAAGACAAGTCTCCTGCGTGCTACTGGATATGGAGACAAGTCTCGTGCATGCTAAGGCGTGTGGAGACAAGTCTCGTGCATGCTACGGCGTGTAGCGCATGTCTCGTGCATGTTACGGCATGTGACCACTTGTCTCCTACTAGAATCAAGAAGAGACGAGTCAGTAGGCTTATGCAATTATTTCTTCTGTGCGTTTCAGAATCACATATATGAATGGGTTCGTGATCATCGGGTTCACCACAAGTTCACTGACACGGATGCTGACCCACATAACTCAAAAAGGGGCTTCTTCTTCTGCCACATTGGCTGGCTCATGGTGAGGAAGCATCCGGACGTTAAAATAAAGGGAAAGACCGTGGATATGAGCGACTTGGAAAGCGACCCCGTCGTTGTATGGCAGCGCAGGTAATGAGTCTCTTAATGGGCGCATGTGTGTTTGGGGGGTGGGGGAGGTGTTATTGCTATTTTTGAGGTTCGTATGTATACAGAATGTGTTCCACTGAGACGGGCACAAGGACACTGCATTGATGTGTGAACGACTAACAACACAAAACACACATCCATATGTATACGTACACTGGCCAATGTAAGAAAAAGAGAAAATAAGTCACAGATGCATGCATGGCGATGATCGAAAGGCTGAAACGCGTTGTAAAATTTAAAGCACAGTATATCAATACATAGTTTTTGTCGATGGAAACAAAATAATAAGTATAACAACATAACCTGACGCTATGAGGAGCGAGGGAGCCAGGTTATTTGGCCTCCAATGGAGATGCTTATTTTGGATGTAACAGCCTCAAGTGTGGGGACACACGGCAAGGTATTTGGCTGAGGCACTATGCTACAAGCTAGAAGGCCGCGGGTTCAAGTCCCGTTGAGGTCATTGGATTTTTTCAATTGACCTAATTCTTCCAGCCTCACTATGGCCCTGGGGTCGACTCAGCCTCTAACAGAAATGAGTACGAGGAATATTCTTGGGGGTAAAGGGAGGCGGGTAAGGCTGACAACCTTACCGCCATCAATGAGCCGATTGTCTAGAAAATGTGGGAACCTCAACATCTCCCAACCCTATGGGTCTCCACGGCCCATTAGAGGGATACATTTACTTTACTTTTTTTTTAAACTAAAAATACCACAAGATACTGTGACATGACGCCTCAAAGCCACAATATAACCATCTGCTGGGCGTTGCTTCGCTGAGCACATTCCCGTGGCAACGCGGAACAAATCATTACTCGACAATGAGTTTTGGTGAACACGCATTACCGTATGATGTTCTGTCTGCGGTCCGCACTGGGTAATGAAAGGACACGTAATTGATACGCAGGAGTCAGTATGTCGTGTGGAGGTGGGGTCAAATACTTCTGCCGTAGCCCTGCGAATCGTGGGAGGCGACGTAGAGGGAAGTCTGCAATCTGGGACAGTAAAATATGGTCGCAAGTCCGAAGAACTCGAGAATGACTCCGCTGATGAGGATCGGCCAGTAGCAATTGTAAACGACAGATCCGTCGTCACATCAATACACACGCAACTGTCTAACAGTAAAGAAAATCTGTTAATAATCCCCAGATGGGTGCTTTATTCCGAAACGGACTGGCTGACCGATTGTCGTTCATAAGACTCGACTCGTCTCGCAGGATTCAGTTTGTATCCGAGAAGCCATGGGTCGTACTGGGTAGTAGAAGACAAGGGACTAGGGACTAGAGACCAGTCCGAGATCCAGTAGAAATACAGTGAGAGACTCGTTATCAAGGAGTTCAATGTGTGAACTGTTATACTCAACTATAATTGTAACTGAGACATCGAATAAATCCAGTCAACTCTAGAACCCACAATTATTCGTCACGCTAACCCCTTATAATGTGACAATATTTACATGCTCATGACATTATGACATATATCAATTTTAATTAATTTAGGGGGATCCACCTAAAAAGGAATTAGATATGAAGTTAATATAATTAATAAAATGATAATATTAACTTTATTGTCATTCCCACCATTGTATATTTCGATCTACTGCTCACTCTAAAGTGGCTTTAAAAGTAGATAGTACCTATATTTTATATTTTAATATATTATTAGTGAATATTTATATGAGACACATTTGTAATTTTGAAAATGGATCCTTGTTTAGTTGCAGTTTGATAAACATGCATGTGTTTGTAAGCCCACCTGAAGATGATCAGCAGATCAACACATCTTCATTAGTTGCATCCTGTTGTGTGTTCCACATATGTCCAGGAATTAGGTTAAACGTCAACACAACAAATTTACTCGCTTTTAAAAAAATAAAAATTGTAAAATATTAAAAGAGAGTATATTTGTTGAGGTGATGGATGACCCAGTTCCTATATATGCAGAGCAACACATGTTGTGGTGACAGTAGCAATTCAGTTAATGATGTTAATTTATAATCTTATTAACTTCCTTTTTAACTGTTGTACAAGTATAGACAGATCTACTTCCTTACCGCTACATATACAACAGTTTGCATAGAAGCAAGGTACAGTATACAACTCTTAGCACAAGGAGCCATTGTTCAGATCTGTGAGAAATAGGGGAACTCCTTTAGAATAAAGCAAGGCGTTTTAGTGATACAACAATGTACAAAATTATGTCTGATCGGCAAGTTTTGCCCTAGACCATGCTTAAAATATATATCTAGGCTTATGTTAAGTTGTTTCTCAAATTAAACATGCTAACATACAGACAAGACTGCATGTCAGGTATTCACTCTTTAAACTGTGCACAAAGAAAGTGCAAAAAGAAAAAATTAGTAAGGGAATTAGTCTAAATATAATTGTTGCAGAAGATGTGGCATGCTAGCGGTAAGGTGATGGCTTCAGTATGTTTGGCTGATGTACACATACTCCTACATCCAGGGTTCAAAAAATACACTCGCCTGCTCATCCATAATGGGTGAAAATTTAAGTTGACGAGAAGAAGATTCAATAGATCAGTTTCAAGGAAGCCAATAACATTAATATTTCTCACTTTCATTTACTGCAGTTAATGAGTGACTGCCTTTAACACAAATGAGTAACAGTTTCATTTATGTTGGAAATAATATTATGTTCCATAATTTGGCAGTATGTCAAAAAATACTTAGATGACTATAACATTCATATTTTGCCATTACTGGACCTACTTTGGACTAGCTCCATGGGAACACTCTTAGCACTCAAGTTAAAAATTAATGCATGTTCTTTGTGAGGAGTAAAACGATAATAAAAGAAGTAGGTGGATAGTCTCAAGCAGTTATAGTCATGAAGAGTTCTGTCTTCTGGAATTTAAGATTGTGTAATTCAGTGAAGGTCAATTGACATTTCAGAGGAACATATCACCTCCATTTTCAGTGTCAAAGAATAAGCCAAACAAGGAACCAGTGTGAAAGCAGGTGGTTAAGTAGCTATAACCACAGCAGTCTGAATTTCTTCCTATGATTTAATAGCTGAGAATATTCATCAAACTATGGCTTAAGTTGCTTCAATTCATAACAACACAAAACTCTTTGACTGAAATTTTGATAATCTCTCCAATACTTCCACAAGACCTATTGATGATATCATCACCACCATCAAATTTTTCCAAAGCTGTGAACCTGTATGAAATTTTAACCAGATACTGTTCTTTACTTCTCACTTTGTTTAACTTCTTGAGAAGGTATTTCTCCACATCAGATTTTTGCAATTGCTTATTTACTTACTAACACCTTCTCAGTAGCTTTGGAATTCAATTCAATTCAATTCCAAAACCAGATTTCAAGACTAAAATTGTATGTATTTTTCCTGCCTCCACACATCCACTTATTCAATTGAACTAACGTTCCTTGATATACTGCCCTATTCATATTAGTTGAAGATTACATAAAACAAAGTTCCTCCTTGTGCAATTTTCCCATATTCTTGAATTTTATTTCTTTTAGGTCCATATATTATCCTCAGTATCTCGTTCTCAAATATTTGTATACTGTTAAGAGGCAAATCATTTTGAAGTTAAAACGGGTGTGGGAAGAATCAGATTCCTTAAGACTTTAAAATATCTTGTGTTCTTCTTGCCCAGGACATACCTAGTCACAATGCCACTGTTATGCTTCGTGCTGCCGGCCCTTGTGCCAGTTTACTTCTGGAATGAAGACCCCTGGGTTTCGTGGTATGTGGCCTCTGTTATGAGGTACACTCTGCAGCTTAATGGAACATGGCTAGTAAACAGTGCGGCACACATGTGGGGCTACAAGCCCTTTGACAAGTAAGTGCTGTAGAATGGTTCACTGCAATTTGGTGTAATGGCACTACCCTAGGTGAACTGTGCGACTACCTTACAAACTCAGTCACCTTACTCCAAATGTTTACCTGTTCACCGTTCATACCAAACAAGTTGGCTCAACTAGTAATCCTTCTGGCTTGTATTTCGGAGGTGCCAAATTTGAATTTCAACCAAGAACACTAACTGTCCTTACTGAGATTTTTCTTGATTTTTGTCACCCTCTAAATGCAAATGCCAGGATAATACTTCAAATGAGACCATGACCGATCCCCCTCCACACCCTTCACAATTCACCATTCATCTCATCAATCTGTATTATATGTTGTATTTACTTGCAACATTGCTAATTAAAACATAAACACAAGAAAACAGAAGTCATCATTCATGATCCCATTTCCTTCGCAGTTAAAGCTATAAGCTTTAAGTACACATTTGAAAGGGTATCATTAATTAACCCAAGAATGATTTTAATGTGGTTTATTATTGCTGATGTTATGTTTACATTAAATTAAATGCAGAAGTGCCATTTAGTAAAGCCTGATTTTTAACCAGTAAGTACGCATGAAGCCCAACTATTGAGAACCCGCCAATTGTCCAACTACTCAAGACCTTCCCAGGACTATATGGAACCAAAAGTTTCATTACTGTGTCCACAACAGCCCTTCACTGGTCCCTGTCCTGAGCCAGATCAATCTTCTTTGAAAGCTGCATGACAAGCTTATTATTTACAGTGAGGGGTTGTTAGCCCCACACCCAACTCACAAGCTGGAGGACCACCTCTTGTTGGCTGTCTGTGACTGATTGTTCAATATATTTGCAGTTACCCTCCATACCTCGAGGGCTTCTTCTGTTCTCCACAACCTGAGGATGTGCCATGCCATGGTGACAAGGGACCCACCTAACAATGATAGTTATCTTAAGGGACATAACATTTTAAAAGTATTTTTTTATTGCTAGTGGATGAGACTAAGTCCCTTGTACAGCGGCCACTTCTGGCCTATTGTACCAGCCCCAGATGATAGGTGAGGGTGATTGTGGATTGTGAAGATTGGCAGGGGAAACCGAAGTACTTGGAAAAAAACCTGCCCCAGAGCCACTTTGTCCACCACAAATCCCACTTGACCAGATCCGGGATCGAATCCGGGCCGCCGCGGTGGGAAGCCAGCGACTGATTGCTTGCGCTATGGCGCAGCCATTTTAAAAGTAAATTTTATATTAATCTTACACAAATTGCTTAAAAAAGATTTATACTTAAAATACTATTGGCACTGAAATTAGTGCAAACTTAGATGCCATTGAGGTACAGCAGAATCATTCGTACCTTGTATGGCGTAATGCAGGAGACAACACAATGTAAAAACAGGATAATTTTAGCATCCTCTCACCTCCCATTCAGTTTTGGAAGTAGCTATATTCTACGAAGTCTTAACCATTAAAAAGTCTGCATGCATATCTTTCTTGTTTTTTGCAGAATAGCCAGCCTACTGTAACCTACTTGACTTTGTGACCATAACTATGTGACACTTATAAATTACCAAGTTCATACACTTACAAATTCTTCTTCCATCTTGACTGCGTATGATAAACCAAATTTAGAGACCAATCTGTTCCATCCTCCCAGCATTTACTAGAAATTTCAGTACCATGCAGCTCTCAGTTGAAGGTGGGAAAGGTGTTGAATGGATACACGAGGATGTCTGTATACAACAGACCAGAACACAGTGTAAACAGTTAAGATTTCGAACCATTGGATGTATTCCATTTGGCAGTGTACATTCAGTTCAGTCATTTATTTTCTTTAATAAACTTTATTTTCCTAACTCTGATCAATCCTAAATTTGATTTTGTCAAACTGAATCTTTCACATCTGCACAAAAGTTTTGGGACATTAATTCAAGTCACTTGGACTTCAAATCTGAGTTATATTTTTCAGAGCTCTTCTAAGCGATAACTAACCAGACTACAACATTCAGAACAGTGAAGGCTGAAGAACTGAGTCAGTGTTTGTTTCTTAAACTTGAAGAAGCTATACTTTAATATTAACTGCCCAAACATTATTCTAGCAAGTTGATTGCCTTCCATTTGGAAGAAGCAATGTACTAAAACAGATGCCTCATTATTCAAAATCTGCAGCCGATATGAAGGGCATCTGACCTTAATGACCAATGTATTATGAACTCCTTACTGTCAATTTCACATGATGATAAAAAAGATACAGTGAAATAATATGTATAACCCTATTATTATTTGTGAACAGTAATTTCTTAGCCTTCTGTTGAATTGTATCACTATACTGTTACATTTACTTATGAAACACATTTCACAGTATTGGTTCCAAGTGACAATTTCATCTCACTGCAACTAGCCAATATAATGGAGAATATTTTTCTAAGAAGATGCAAGTTGTATAAAGTTATTTACATTTTGATGTAATCACACAAAAATAACCTCTCAGAATTTTAAATTACATTTTTCAAAATTGATGTACTTCCTAGAGGATTTTTGTCTGTCCTGTTAATATCTGTCACATAAATTATTGCAAGTTTACAAAGGCATGTATTCTGCTTTGACGGAATGTAGAAGAAAACTGTAGATTAATAATCCAATTTTTGTCTCTATATTTAAGTTAGAGACACCTTATTAATCTGCATAAACTGTAAAAGAGCCTGCTGGTTAAGCTTATCTTTAGCAGATGTTGCTATTTCATTGTTATATTAATGCACAGAACAGCGAAGAAAAATATCCTTAGAACTTGGAATGGCTACAGATTTTCACTTTTCTGAAAACCATACTTCAGTCAATGCAGAGGAAAATAAAAATGCATAAAATTTCATGTCTCATGACATGCAGGACAAAATCATGATATAAAATAGCTAACAAATCCTGTGAAAGTTTAACCAAGTTCAAATGATACTTGAGAACATGTATCGTGCCAGAAGTACATTCACACAGAAATTAGGAACAGATTCATTTTGTACATTCAGTTCAGATTCTTCTGCTTACTCATTCACTGTTTAAAATTTAGTAAGATTTAAATACATGAAATCTCATTTTTATCTGTTGTTTATATGAGTGTGAAATTGGGTCTCTGAATCTAAGGACAGAATATAGATTGTGGATGTGAGAACAGGATGCTGAGAAAAATATTGGGATATAAGAAAGAGCAGAAGTAATAGGAGGATGAAGAAAATAGCTCAGAGGAGCTTCATAATTTGTAGTCTTTACGGATATTATAAGGGTATCAAAATCAAAGAAGGTTAAATGACAAATGTACACTAAGTTCTTATCTTAAAACATATAGGTAAATACAGAAATGGACAAGGGAATTATATCAAAACAATTCTTAAGGTATAGGATATGAGAGTATGGACTCAAGTCATTTGGCTCAGATTAGGAGCTGAATTGTCACTACAAAACTCAGCTGTCTTCAAATAGATTAATGAATCGTCATTTCTAGATTATACTGAAAATCTTCACTGTCTCCTGTGAATATCTTTAATGAAATTTGTGAGTTCACAAAAGAGAAACATGTTGATTGGGTAAGCAACTATTGGCCTCAACAAACAGGGATCTATGTAATGGAGTTAGTTACTCAGATAACACTAACTGCAGATTCTTCTGGACACAGTGCAGTGCCCAAGAGACTTTGAATTGAGTATGGTAAAGGTAACATATGTGAGGTTGCCCCTGTACTTAATAAAACCCATGCTATGGAGAAAGGAGGATTGAAGATATTGCCACACACATCTTAATATAAGCACTAAACAGAGATGAATGGTTGGATTCAGACCCCATCCACTTTACTTCACTTCACAGAACCCCCAGTAATCCAATGACTAAGAGGCTGGATGGGCCTGGAGCCGATCTGGACCTGTGTGAAGACCTCGAGTCTCATATTTAGATAAGACTTTCAACGATTTTCTTGATATCACTATAAGCTTGGGCAGAATATAATGAATGTAACACTGTGATTTGTACAGGGACATCAGTGCAGTAGAGAACCTGACTGTGGCATCTTTGGGGTTCGGAGAAGGCTGGCACAACTACCATCATGTGTTTCCATGGGATTACAAGGCAGCTGAGCTTGGCCCCTACAGGACTAACTGGACTACTGGCTTCATTGACTTCTTCTCTCGCATTGGATGGGCTTATGATCTCAAAACCGTATCCACAGAGATGATAAGAAGACGTGCAGCTAGGACAGGAGATGGTAGTCGCCACAGTGACGCCCCTCTTGAAGATTTGCATGAAACTGACAACAGTATATGGGGCTGGGGAGACAAAGATATGCCCGAGGAAGATATAAAAGAAGTGCGGATATACAATAAATGTAACTGACAAACCAGTACATTTATGTCGTAAAGTGTATGTCGAGGTACTCTTAGATGTAGATGTGTCAACAAAATGTGATGTACGTGGTTGCAAATGGGCCTACTTTAGGGTAATATTATCCTAAAGTAGGCCCATTTGCAACCATATACTTCGTACAATGTAACTCTTTCTTAGATAAGGGAAACTTTTTGACGAATGTATTAATTGGGAACGTCATAATAATATGGATATTGATCCAAATATTTTATGTTCCATAGAGGTCCTATTGCATAGAATTAAATTTGAAAACTAAAGTAAATGGGAAAATAAGTACAGGCTTTTGGGAATAATTTATATTGTAGCTACTGATCATGTGAGCACCTCGCAAATTTGTTCAAATGAGAGGCTAGGAGTGATGAATATGTTTAGACTATATATTCAACATAAAAACATATTCAGCAACATCTATTAAAGAATTAATATCAATGTGTTCTAATTCATGTTCTTTGTTGACAAAATTATTACTCTCTGCAAATTTATCAAACTATCACGACAAAAGAACTGTTCAAATTTATTGATGAAACAATTTAAATAAAGCTTTAAACTAGCACCACAGAGCTATAACTTGCATTTTGATGACACATCTTCAGTCACCCTAACACGTTACAATATGATACCTAAGTACGTTTCTTTGCAATATTATTTCGTGACTGTAGACACATTGCCATTTCAGGCTTTTGTAGACAGGGATATTTATGGACGTTTTGTCTGAACGCAGATAAATTAGCCATAATTACTGAACATCATGCTGTATCCTGTTATGAAAAGCTTCATTCTTACAATAACTTAAGTTATAATCCAAAGATAAGTATCTGAAATGTTTGTAAATGACAAAAACTACTGCAAATGGCAGGTATTTTAGTGGATGGAACTATGCTGTGTCCATTCATTTACATTCAGAAATCTGCTAACTTATTTATTGTGTAAGTGGTTTTATTTCTGTTATGCATAAATTTAGTTTAGAGATTATAATATACAAATCATGGAGCTATGCGGTAGCATAGTTAGTTGAGGGACTATGCTACAAGCTGGAAGGTTGCGGGATTGAATCCCAATGAGGTCATTGAAATTTTTTTTTTTTTCAATTTACCTAATCCTTCCAGCCGCACTAAGGCCCTGGGGTTGACTCAGCCTCTGTCAGAAATGAGTACCAGGAATATTCTTGGAATATTCTTGGGTGTAAACGTCTGACCAGCACGTAAGGCTGACAACCTTGCCGCCATCTATGAGCCAATTATCTAGAAAATGTGGGAACCTCAACATCTCACAACCCTATGGGCCTCCACGGTCTGTTACAGGGATAGCTTTTCTTACTTACTTACTTACTTACTTACTTTTAATATACAAATCAAAGTAATGTTGGTGCAACACAGGCCTATAAGAGCCTACACACTTTCACTTTACATCCCAGAATAGAAATTCCACTCTCTAAACTGCGTAATATCCTACAATTTCTTAAAAAGATAAGTGTATTTGGTGAGCAAGTAAAGTTTGTAATTAACTGCAAGTTGAGAACAGTGTGGCATGTTGGGGCCTATGCCCACTTTTGATGTGAGAACATTCTGTGATGTACTTAACTTCTCGTTGTTATGAGTTATAAAAATGTAAATGTATTGTTGAATTTTTAATTATTCATATATATGCACTTATACTACGGACAAATAATAATAAATATTTACTAATTATATATCAACTCAATTGTATTATTACTTTCTCAATCTGACCTTTCAAGTATTGCATGTTTTACAATGGAATTTGTCAAGCCTATAACTCCATATGTGAGACTTATAAATTACAAAGTTTATACACTTACAAATTCTTCTTGCATTTTGGCTGCCTATGATAAACCAAATTTAGAGACCAATCTGTTTCATCCTCCCAGCATTTACTAGTAATTGCAGTACTGTGCAACTCTCAGTTTAGATCAAACTTCAACAATACAAGCCATTAGTGTGTTTGATGCATGGGCAGTAGAGGGTGAAGGTGAGCCTTAGGGATTCCGATCCTACCAAATCCTAGGAGGGCACCGCATTTCTGCCAAGAGGAATAAGGTGTTTATCTGAAGGTTACATGAGAACACAGCCCCTTTGATGAAAGTTTTCTTATCAACATAAAATATGCCTGAAGTTTCTGAGGTCCATCATCTCTACATCTCTTACCATGTACCGGAAACCTTATGGAAGAAACGTCCTTCGTAATTATGTCTGAATTTCCCACTGCCATGTGAATACTGGAAGTGTACTGAAAATAGAACCTTGTAAGTTTTAGTGATAACATAAGAGTCTAAGTCATGAGCTAATGATGACCCACCCTCATTCTTGTAGTAAATAGAAAAAAATCTCTTTATAACGTAAAAAGTAACTCTAAATGCTTAAAATAAAACACATATTGGCCCCAATTTTCTCAAACTTACACATTGAGGGGAGGGAAGGATTATTTTATTTGGTCCTGTTCCCACTTGTTTATCAGGGCACAAGTCATCACTGAAGCAACCTGTGATCATGTAGTTGTCACATTTCACAGCTTCTTGAGCTTTACCAGCTGGGAAGCATACAAGGAAATCCTATATTATTCTTCACAAATTTTTTCACGTTTATATTTTACATTGGGCATTCCATTATGTCCTTGAGAAATGGATTGTAGATGCTCTATAACATGTATGGTAAATTTATACCTCAGTCACTCCCTCACAGAGCCAAGACCTTCTTGAGAAGCTGCCAATTATGCGGCTACTCAAGAACTCCCAGCATTTCATGGAACTTGAATGTTCATTACCATGTTCAAAAGAGCCCTCCACTGGTCCCTATCCCGAGCCAACAAGGGGTGGTCCTCCAGCTTGGGTGTTACGTGTAGGGCTAACAACTCCTCACTGCAAAGAATAAGCTTGTGAGAGATTCTGTAATTCAGCATCGCGTTGCAATTGTACAAATAAACGTCCATTATTTGTCTTCTGTCAAAATTGCAACATTTTTACATTCTACACTTCAACACTACATGTTTCGGCCTCAAATGGCCATCTTCAGGTGTTTTTTAGTAAAATATCTGTAACATAAAAACACCTGAAGATGGCCGTTTGAGGCCGAAACATGTAGTGTTGGAGTGGAGAAAAGTGTTG